ATGAGCACTGTATTAATAAGAATGCATAGGTGGGACCGGGAAAGCAAGGCGAGAGAGCTTACACCATTTCTCGCCAGGTAATTACCTGCTAATTTTCACAAAGCCCCTTCCAAGTTTGCACAGTAATTTTCACTTTCCCTGTAACTGAAGCAGGAAGCTAAAGCTCACAGACATTTTCGTCTCCCCAAGATACACAGCTAAGCCCCAGCAGGTCAGGGCTCCGCAAGGCCCCACCACCAAAAGCGGAGTCTTCTCTTCACACCGTCCTCACCCTTGACAACTGGACTGATCTTCTCTGAATGAAGCCAATTCTTATAAAATTCAGAATACAAAATATGCAGTTCTGAAAAGTGTCGATAATTCAGAGTAGACAGAAAACAGGAATAGTATCAAACACAAAAACCTCAACTTAAATCTTTATAAAATGTTATCAACAGTGGTCACAATAAAGCCAAGTACCTCTCCAAGTATCTACAGTTAAGGAAATACAATTTTTCTGTTGCCTCTGACTTCTGATTTCCAGCTGTTTTCCACAAAAGAAAACAATATTTCCTTAAGGAGCCACATATCCTTACAACTGCCAGGTCAGAAATCCCTAATTATTGAGCTGCACATTAACTCAGTGCCAAGGGCGGGACTGGGCCCACTAACAGTCACTCAGCAGCTCAAGTGCACCCTCCTGGTGAACTGAGCCTATGTCCTCACAAGTGTCCATTCATGTTACATCTTTGAGGGCAGCTGCAATAGGAAAAGGATAATTTAATAGAGATAGGAAAGCAGGAAACATGTAGATACAAAATATTAGTCAGAAATCGAATAACATCTCATCTAGGTGACATTTAAGAGGAAATGTATTTCAATAGTGATGGAAATTTCTGTTATTTAGAAAATGTCTCAAGAAGCAAAACATTTCTTGCTTCTTTGTTGATCCTTTGTCCTTTTTCTTTTACCTATTTCTTGACTAGATCTTTAATTTTAGGTGGTTAAACTTATTTGCGTTCTTCATATATTCTACATAATAGTCCTCTGTCTGAGGAGTAGCTGACAGAAGAAGTTTCCCATGCTATAGGTTGTCACTTTGCTCTACTGTGTTCTGCTGTACCAAAGATTTTCAGTCTGATATAATCTCATCTGTTGATTCCTGCTATTTCTTGAGAAATTGAAGTTGTGTTTAGAAAACCCTGTCCTAAATCTCAAGTGTTTTATCTATTTTACCTTCCTTAATTTTTCTGTTTTAGTGTTTAGATCTTTGACCCTTTCTGAGCTTACTTTAGTACTAATAAGTAAATAAATAAATAAATAAATATGAAAGAAAATAAGATAACCAAAGAAAACTGTGTGAGAATAGAGGAATTCTTTGATGCAGTATAATGAAGAACAAACACCAAAGAAAATATGCCAGAGACTTGTACAAGGGCATCAAGACAACAAAGACCCAGGAGCTTGTGTTAAATTCAGAAGAAAGAATGGGAGGAGAAGAAGCAGGCCCTCATTCATTATATTCTAAGTGAGGGCAAGAAATAAGGAGGCAGCCAACCTTTTCAGAAAGAAATGTGTGGACCCAGAACAATTAATCATATTATTAAAGTAGGTGCCTTCCACCTAACCAAAACAAAATCTACAGTAGACTGTTGCATGTGCTGACATATTGTGTTATCACTCATTGCCCCACGCTCTTGGCAGAGGCACTTCTACACTGAGGATTAAGCCTTCTGGAGTGACATCAAACGGACAGTGATGTCCTAAGGCACAAAGTAGCAGCAGCCAAGTTTAACAGAGGAAAGATAGCAACTACTCACAGCATTCAAACATTCAAAAGAACAAGAAGTTGGATGTCTGAAGGGCAATAAGTGGAAAGAAAAGCAACCGAACATAAATGAGACGAAGGCACTAAAGGATTCTGAAGACTTCTAATACATAAGCCAAAGCCACTTATAACACATTATTACAATATAGAAACATACCCATCTCCCCAAGTTTCCATGTGGATTTTAATATTCATAAACATGCATAGGGGCAGGAAGAGAGGAGAGAAGAAGGGAGAGAAGAGGAGGAGGAATGCAAGGGAGAGGCAGGAAGAGAGTGAGAGGTCAAGGGAAAAAGATCAACTCCTAGTCATCTAGGTGGACACTGAAAATCAGGAATGGAAAGATAAATCGTAAATAAAGCTCTTAAGTGACAGCAAAAGCCTGGCACCAGAGGTGACCCTGAAAGTGTGAGCACCAAAAAAACTCACAGAGCTCTTGAGGAGCACATCATGTTTGACAGGATCTGGATGCAGAAATGGTCCCATTGTACACAGAACTTTAGGGCCAGGAGATCCAGCAGATGAGTGTTGTCTGGCTGTACATCAATGGATAGTGAGTGATCAGAAAATGAGGGTCAGAAAAAAGAGGGCTAAAGCAACCAAGCCCTGGTCACCCAGAGCTCTCATTGGGTTACTGGGAATCATAATGCCAAGTGAATTCCATTTCCTGTGTAACTGAAGTGACTAGACTGATAAACCCATAGTGCCACAGACAGTATATCTGCATTTCAGAAAGGCCTTTGGGAAAGTGCTAGAGGAAGAAATGAAGAAGATGGCTATATACATGCCCCAGTGAAGCAATTGGAAGCTCGTTTCAATAACTGCACTCTGAGTCTGTTAATATTTGGTCAGAATGACTGGAGAGGAAGCTATGACACTATTATCTATGTCATCTAACATTTTTTATGAGTAACTTGTTTAAGGAATTTTGAAAATGACACCAGGCTATGAGGAAGAGACAAAACCAGGAACCAAAAAGATTGTCGTGGACTATAGCATACGGCCAGAATTAGCAAGATAAAATTCAATGAATATAAATGTAAGAGCTACCTTTATGCACAAAAAAAAATGAAGGTAGTAGCACCATCGTATGAAAAAGAGCTGCACTGTGTCATTTAGGTTCACATATGTGGAGATTTCAGTTTCCTCTCAAAATCAATATGAACCAACATACTACTAAGTAAGATAGGGTTGAGCATCAAGCAAGAGAGGCAGTTATCGGAGAATACCTGGCATGTTCACATACAATAATTTGTTTACATTTTGACATGTTTTGATTTCCATATTTTATATGATTTACCTACAATCTAGAATATGCATAAAAACATTTCCAGAAATGTTTTTCAGGAATTCTATTGCATGTAATGGCAAATTAGCAACTTGGCCCAATTCTTCTGCTGAGGAAAACAAATGGACTTTGATGAAATACTTTATCTTAAAAAAACAGGAGACCTAAGAGATAGTAAAGGATTTCCTGAGATGAGCATAGGGAAGACCCAGCTCAGCACATCACTCCACCACACAGTGGCTTCCTTTCTCCTAATGCTAAGCACTCTCACTTCTTTCAACAGCCTGTTATAGGCCGAAGAACCTGTCCAAACATTTGTTAAAGCTATTTATAGTTCAGTGGTTCTAGCTCTAGTGCACAGACTTCCACAAGTAATCATTTCCTGTTCTTTCAAAAAAGGCTCTTAACTTCAGGATACTGCTATTGTGAGCATTGAATTATTGGAGAATTAATGGAGAACACTGGTGGCTTCAACAGCGTCTGGCACATTATAAAAACTCCACAATTGTTCACAATAATTTTTATTCCAAAATTTCACATTTTGCTTTTGTCTACCATGTATCCTCTTGCTTGTTTAAGTGATGTGCTACATGTGACTGAGCTAGCACTGTGCCAAGGACCCACAGGCTCTCAGTTAAAATGATAGTGAAGGTGGTTGTGTCCTTTATATGCTCAGCTCCCAGCTGACTGTGAAGACAGCAGTTTTCACCTTACAAAAGCCCTCTGTGCTACCCTGTCTCAACAATCTAGAGTCTGAAATATAGGAAATAAAGGGTCCTCAACCCAGGAATCAGCTGGCACGCGGTCTTCCCTATTCATTTCTTATTTACAGCATTACTGTCTGTACAAGAACAGCAAACCTAAGAAATGTTCAGGTGTTTGACTATTCTTATTCAACACAACAGTAACCAAGTAGTAAGAACAAATAGAATTGCTTTCTATTGTAATGAAATTATCAAAAGAAAATGAACATCAAAGAACAAAGAGGTAATTCTACATGCCAAAATAAATATGACAGTAAATACAAGATGTAAAGGAGATTTAGCTTAACAATTAGATAAAATGATTTTGACACGAAGATCAATCTAATAAAGTTACCATTTGCTCAATGTAGTAACAGCATAATCACTAGGCAGTTTTAAGAAAACATGGATATATTTATGGATACAAGTGTAAAAGTCCTCTTTAAAGCAGGAAATTCAGCAGAGTTCCAAGAAGGTCTTTGCAACTTTTTCTTGCTGATACCATGGCTTGACCAAACTAAATAAATTAAGAAACAAAAACAACAAGGCTCCACTAAAGCTTTCTTCATATTTAAATGGATTTGTCTGGCAATATAAAGCAAGCAGACTACCTGGATGCTTTGTTTTCCTTATCATTAAAATGTATTTTTACTCATCAAGTCCATGTATACATTTTAATAATTGCTTACTACAGACTTCACAGACTACTGGTAGAGAGGTTCTAATTCTCATCAAAAAAGAGGAATTGGCAAGGTGATGCTCATTTATAAACTTAGAAGCAACTTCTAGATATCTTAAGCTTTAAGATCCCTCCTTTTTAAGTCATTTATATGTACCTACTTGTTTCAGATTTCTATATAATTCTATTCTTAACTTATATTTAGGTGGTAAATAATCAATTCAAGTCAAAAGTTTAGAACTTTCTCCTAAACATTTCCTTGTCAGCAAGTTATCTTCTGTTCTTCAATTTCCCACTGGCGTTACTACGATTCTGGCATCAATCTTTTAAAATATACTTTAGTCCTCACAACCAAATCTGGTCAAGCTTCTGATCATGACAAAAGAAATGATGGTGAGACAGGAACACACCAGAATTGATGCCAGCTTTGGGGAATTAGAAGCAAGAACAATCCCGAAGCAAACTAAGCCATCTTTTACTTACGGATGACACATGCTGCAGCAGACACCTGACATCAATCATGTCTGCGAGAATGAGGAGTCTGGTGACTGCAGCCAGCAAGGCGCGGGCAGCCTGTACAACAGCCTCCCTTTTGGGGAGATAGCAGGGGTCATCTGTGAATCTCTCAGCTGATACCTTCAGAGCTTCGCCTGAAAAATACAGACCCAGGGAGGTGACACTGTAAGTTTCAGCTATGTTTGTTTCAGCACTTACCAGCCAACCTCAGCATAATCCATGCTGAGTATATTAAAATACTGTCAGTGGATGCTAGCATATTGTCTCTTGATAAACAGCTCAGGTTCAATTTGACATTTGTTTTTGATAAATGCTCTGGGCTTTAAGAATCATAATACCATCTTCCTGCAAGAAAATTATGCTCAAATGACTAGAAACACCCAGTAAAAACTGCTGTCAACATCTGTGTTTTCTGAATCTCAATTACTGTGAAAGTTTCATTACAAAAATTTCAATCACAAACACTCTTGTTTATAAAATAAAGCAAATCTTCACTAAGTTACTTCCTAACTTAATGGATGTTAGAAAAGATCTATCCTCTAAGATACTGGCAGTTCTCTGATAAAAGTGTAAAATGAGCAGATTTATTCTACACCAATATAAAGAATAAACTATATCCTAAATTAGTCACAGAAATAATCTTTTGTATTATTTAATTGCTAGAAATATGTTGTTTACTATTTTAAAGTAACTTTATTTAAAATGTTATTATAAAACAAATGTATACTCATTTATTTTTAAAAGTTCGCAGTTCAAGAGTCTAAAAAGAGAAAAATCTCACTGGGCGTGGTGGCACACCTGCAATCCCAGGTCTTGGGAGGCTGCAAACAGGAGAATCATTATGAGTCCGATCTAGTAGTGAAACCCTAAAAACACTATAGACCCTTCCCTAAAATACAAAAAATAAAAATAAAATAAAAAATAAAAAAGA